TGCAAGCAATTGTTCCATACCCAATAGTCGTGAAAAGTGTTATTGCTGCAACGACTGTGAAAAATGCGGTAATTCGATTAATTCAACAAACAATGCTACTTGAAAAACAAATCAAAAAATAATTAACTCCATGTTGACCAAGTACTTATGCAAACAATTAAAATTTAATAATAAAATAAATAAATTGAAGAATTTAAGAGCTCCATTCTATTCCATAGGCTTCTACGATGGAACACTGCGCACTGTGCTTTCTTCTGCAATATAATTGAGCTTATTAATATTATTATCATTATTATTATTACTGTCAAGAATACCAAGTTATTATTAATGCCACTATCAATATCATTATTATCATTATCATTATTGTTACTGTCGTTGTTGTTGTTGAGCAACAAAATGTTGGAAACGAAAATGTCACTAACCATAGAAAATGGCAGTACTGAAACTCCACATCAGTGCATCTTCATGTGCTTGCTTATGAAACGTGCTTGTTGTATATTTGTCTTCTGTTTTAAGCATTTCTTTATAGTAATCCCTGCAGTTAGTGATAATGGGCCGATATAGTGCATTTTTAGTGTAGATTTCAAGCAAATGTTCCTGATTTTTGTCCTGTCCTGGGAAAAACAATTTTCAAGGTTTTTCCGACGCAGTTGTCAAACCCAACATCACCTTGCTTGAAAGCAAGGCTCGAAAGAGCGAGTCATCGAAAGACTTGCCAAGAAATGCTGTTGGCAGTTGTCTTGAAAATAGTCCCCAGAATTTTCGCTTCTAGAACGAATAACTATTTTGACGTTTACTTTTGACGTCAAATAGGTGTTGGTTGCCGACTGGAGCAGGAGGCTCAGAATCGAAAGGCCCGGCGTAACTAACAGCATCCCGATAGCTTCAGTAGTATAGGATTCCAGACCAACTGCCCGGACAGTCTTGGTATTCTTGACTAGTGGAATTTACAACGGAATGATATTGAAGACTCAAGTTATTCTCAACCTGCTTTCCGTGGAATTTTCGCTAAAAAAACATTACCAACAGTCTTTAGCGGTTACTGTTATTGCTGCCAGTAAAATATGATTCAAATTCTAAACATACAACCCGGAGCTTTTGTTTGGTAAAAGTAGCTGAACTTTTGAATTAACAGGTATGAATTTTTACCATAACGTAAGTTCTCTCCAAGCATGACCAAAAAAACTTATTTTTCTCCTTTTTGGTTGTAACTGCCTTTTGTATACCATTCGGCCAGACTGATATCAAAAAAAAAAAAAAAAATACAAGAACAGACTGAATTTGAAAACGATCGAATCCGATTTTATCTCGGTATTTATGATTACCTGATGATCATTTCGATGGTTGCCTGATGTGTATTTGTAAGTGTAAGGTTTGAGGCCTTGAAAATATGGCCAGTGAGATTGCTTATCAAACTGAAAATTAGCAGTATTTAACCAGATTTAATTGTTCTTTTTATTTTGAATTTCATCGCTGATTTTTTTCCCGATTTTTTAATTATTACTTTGCTTCACCAGTTTATTAGTAGTCCTTTGGATGCAGCTTGAATCCTAAACTCTGTGTGTCTTCTAGGCCTTTAGTGAATGATTTTTCCCGTCCCCACAAATCGCTGATGCCTAAGATTCTTTCGACTCACCGATCGCAGACAATACAGAGTAGCAGCAAAATTTACTTGAGGATAGGAAACCCTATATGACAGAAACCGGATACTGCATTCCAAATCAATTTAAAAAACTTACAAAATTTTCAAAAAGCTTACTTGTTCAATTTTTCGACGTTCGTCTCTAAATTTTGGACCTCGTGCGAATGCTCAGCTGCATGAAATGCAATGCCACCTAACACTGCGTACAGGGCTAAACTAGTTACCAGAACGCAGTGCCTTACGCCATATTTACTGTACAACCTGCAAAAAATAAAGGAACTAGTTAAAACTTATTCGGTAATGGCAGTCGAACAAGGCGAAAAGGTGCCAAAAATATGAGTATCAATATGCCTTCACGTCACTTTTGCAAGAATTTGATGGAAGGAAGAAAGGAGAAAGAAAAGAGATAAAGTGTGTGCTCAGCACGAGTAGTCCAAAAATCCATCAATGCCAGAAAATGCTCACGAGCGAGTGATACCAAGATGCAGTCCCTGGCAAATACTTCTGGAATCCACACTCGGGCATAATTTAAAGAAAGGCTTGGACGAAAACTGTTTTAGCAAGCTTATCAGCCCAAAAAACTATTGTAGCAGAATGATGTCTGATCCTCGCACTGATGCGTTAGCATCACTTCACGCAAGAAAAAAAATCTAAAATTCAGGTTTTATTTTATCCAACGAATAAATTAAGGCGAACCGACATCGCGCTATGCTAAACTGTGATTGACGAGTGCAAAAACCATGGGACTTGACAGCGCGTTTTTTTTTCTTTTCAAAAAATTGAAATTTTTTTGGCTTGCATTAGTGTAAAAAGAACGAAAACGACTACATCCTGTGTCGATGCTTAATGTATTCTCATGAGTGTCTTTGCAGCACCCTTCTTCACCAAAGGGAACGATAAGCGATCCCTGAACACTGCGAGCAATAATACGTAACATTTTGACGTATGGAAAAATGGTCAAAAACGTCTGGTCAAAAAAAGCTTATCCAAACTAACCTAGATAAAAGTCGGAAAAAGCGCGTTCGTAGTGTATTTTTGTAGACGACTTTTTTGACTGTTGAATTACTCTCGTCGGTGTGACCAAAATATCCTTTCAGCAACTGAAATGCGTTGAGCAATTCAAAAGCTGATTTAGGCATATTTTTTTGTTCAGACGGCAGATTTTGGACATATTAGTTGGACAGCCGATGAGTTCCCTTGAAAAAGTAGATGACCGCTTTTCAGAAAATAACTATATTTGGTCAGTGCGTTCTTTTCGCTCATCGAGCACAAATAAATGTCAAAATGTGTACATAGGACTGAAGGTTTTCCGGAGAGTAATACTGAAAGAGCAGAGAAGGGAGAATCTGTTTGAATGGAATTAAGCTGAATGAGAAAGACCCAAAATGATAAAGAATGCAGCAGTTGCTGGTTGCACCAGTGGCAGGAAGTGACGCAACAATGAAACAACAGCTGATCAAAGTAAATAACATTATATTGTTCTACTAAGTGAATAAAGTTCTGGATGAATATATATGTGTATTTAATAACGTTCTGGCTAAAAAGTTTTCTTCTATGCGAAATTCGGTCAAAAGTGAAAGTTTAAAAACTGAAATTATACCAGTACGCTTCTCCTTCGACCAGTTAAAGAGAGATCTGGTTGGTGTCTCGACTGCTCTTGCTTGCTAGCGTTACCATATGATGAAAGTGCGCATTCTCCATTACTGAGCATGCAAATTTCTAAAATTTGTTGCTGGCTAAGATCGAAATTTGTTACAACTAATTAAGGATACTTGCAAGTTTTTTCCTGTGAGGAGACATAATTCTCAGATTGCAGCTAAGGAATGAAACCAAACTGTCTTGCGATATGTCCATCGCTTCTGTATTTGCGGTTAAGTGATGAAATACAGACTGCTCTACGATTTGCTCATCACTGAATTCAACACTCGGCTACAATATCCCAGTCTCAGTATTATCCAAATGGGCCAAAAACGGATTTTATGCCTCATCGTGCCTTTGTACTAATCGTTGAAGCAACTGCAGAAGGTTTTGTCGCCTTCGCTGCCGTCGTTTGCAAAAAAGTTCGGTTTTCAACTTCATTTTAACTGTCGAGAAGTATTTCTCCTACCTGTTTAATTGCGTCTGCAACTGCTGTTGATCAACTGCTTCGAGCTGTCCGATTCAAAAGAAAGATTCCTTTCCAACAATAGATCTTTCTTCCACGGGCCCTTTATACGGTAGCAACGGCAAAAGATAACTTTTGCACAAGGGCAGAGTGGCGCTGATAAGTAGTGCTGCCCAGAGAGACCGAAAAAATTCCGCTCCTTTTTTCGAAGCTCCAGCTGATAAAGGAATGTCAGTGAACCATAAATCATCATCATTTCTTCGGTCTGGATACCATAAACAGCTACTGATAAGGTGCTCTGTACAGTGTGTGATTCCTGAAACTGTTTTTGCTTTATGATCAAATGAGCTTCTGTATTTTGATGCTGTTTTTTATTTTGATATTATCATTATTATCATCATTTTATAAATCATCATTGCTACTGTCGTAATTATTATTGTTTGTAATACTAAGTACATAAGATTCATAAAACAGCTCCTTGATATTTATAATATTATCATTGTTTAACGCTTGTATTATTATTATTGTTATTATTACTATTATTATTAATATTATTAATATTATTAATACTATTATTATTAATATTATCATTAATATTATTATTAACATTATTATTATTAATA